ACCTCTCCCTCCGCTACCTCTGCCTCTTTCATATCCAGCACCTATGTAACATTCATACATTAAAGTTTCATCAGAAGATATATATGTTTTCCCGTGGAAGCCTGTGCATGCCACATCAAATGAAAATCATAATGACATATCCGATTATCTAAGCAATGAGTTAAGCGGTTGTTTGGTTCACTGCAGACAATAAAGATGGCCGCAATTAAGGTGGCAAAAAAGGTCTCCAGTGATAATCTAAGTCTAAAGACTTATCGATGGAAGTAGCAGTTGCAACATCTTTCTACGAAAGAAGTTTAAGTTGCCATCAACCCTGACCATGCTGAACCAGACGACTGCAACTACAATTGCATCTGATGTTGAAGTTGCATGCAACTAGCACTTATATTACAATGACAGTTGCAATAGGCATGTGCTCGAAGAGACGTGCACAAATGATGATGGCCTACCCGCAAACGAAAATAGCAACAAATTGAAGGTTGAGGAGGATATGTTGCAGAAAGAGCAATCGCCGAAGAGATGTAGTAGCGGAGAACTCACTGCAAATGCCTCAAAAGACGGTTTTATTTCCACAAAAAAAAGGGAAAGAAGTCGTCCGTCGATGCCCATCTCGATAAAAAATCAAGAGAATGCGAAACCCACGAGCGGAGTGAAAGGGGGAGGGAAATATGAGCATTTGATGAGAGAGAAATTGAAAGAGAAGAACGGGGTTCTAGCAGATAAAACCAACGTTCAGGTTGAAGTTGAACAAGGGAATACAGGAAAATGGCAGTGCCCAAGGAAGAGAAAGCCGTATGTTGGGCCGCCACTGAAGCAGCTCAGGCTTAAAAAATGGGTCCGTCGAGTGAATTAGCGCGAGCTATCTTGTTGGTAGACAATTACTTGTTTTTCTAGCCCACTGTTCATCCATTTGGAAAATCATCAGAATTTTCTTACAAGTTTTTACTATTTGTATTAATATCAAAATTTCATTGTTTACATTTGACTCACTGGAGAACAGTTATTTTTTTACCGTATATCGACATTACTTACTAGACTTGGATCAATCTCTACTGACAGCAAGATGTAATCGGGGTTCTCGTTCGTAAATATTAAGAGCGTATTTACTTCTTGCAATGACTTCAACAAAGGAAGTAGTTTCATAGTCAGTCTCCACATATTCGATGGTTATGTGGTATTTTTTCTTTTCTTTTCTTTTCAATTTTTGGTATCATTCTGGTCACACAAAACATCAGTATTTATATCATAGTACTCATTGGTTATAATAAGGCTGAAAGAATTGCATACTGGCAGGATATATTATCATTATGGGCACAGTAAATCACGTCTGACTGAATGTACTCATGTTATACTTTTATAACGTTAACAACAATACCAGCAATAAGCGGGTAGAAAAAATATTTGATAAAAATGGGAGTGCAAGAAAACAGATAAAAATGCGAGTGCAATAGGCGGATTATCATTCAGAAATATGATTGTAAGAACTTTAAAATGTGTTGCTTATAAGAAGTTGTGGAAGATAACATGTATAATTGTAAGTTCTGGCAAACATGTCAATTTAGAATCCAAGCTTCAGGTAGAGAAAACATACCATGATAGTTCTGCCCTCCTCTACCACGCCCACGACCTCGATTATAATTCCAGTATCCATCATTTTCTACAATTAGAAGCGGACTAGCAAGGTTAAGAATCTCATGAAAATAAATTTAAGAGTGTAGTATGCCAAAAGAACCATTTTCACCTTTATTTCATTTTTTGTTACCACCAACTACTGATTAAATAGTCCCAAAAGAGTTTGAACAAGCTGTTTCAACACAAAATATTACCTTGATATCCCTGATTGTTTCCATAACCCTGGGTGTATCCTTGATTGTATCCATAACCCTGATCATATCCTTGGTTGTTCTCATATCTGCCATATCCACCACCACCGTATCCACCATAGCCACCATATCCACCTCTATTACCCCAGCTCCTTCCTCTACCTCTACCTCCACCTCCACCTCTACCTCCACCTCTACCTCGACCACGTCCACGGCCATATGACTCTTCTATCAAACAGCATGAAAGTCAACAAACATACTTATATTCAAACACTTTAAGATTTCAATGATCAAGACTTGGAAAACTTCAAAGGTTATACCTTCAGCAACTTCGTTATTATGCGCTTGCCTGGGTTGCTGCTGCTGCCTTTGCTGGTACTGTGGCTGCTGCTGTGGCCTGTACTGTTTTTTTGGCTGATGTAAAACCATCGGTGCTTGATAACTACATAGCAAGAGGTAAACAATTAGGAGTTAAGGAGGCATATAATCCGACTACACAATTGAAAGGAGAATGACTCGCTCATTCTAGGTTCGTAACTCCACAGGGAACATCTATCATGTTGAATATGCAGATGGTAGAGATAAAATATATTACCCAGGAGAGTTCTTGTTAAGATCATGAGGTGACAAAGTAATTGAGATCATTGAGACATGACGAGTCGTCTCCAAACTGCATAGTAGATTGTCAGGTGTCAGAGAAACTTTCCACTCTCCAAGAATACAGTAAATTGTCTTCATAGAAGTTGTCTAAAGACTTACGGAACAAGACCCTCCTCTATAGGTTCCCATACATCAGTAATGCTAGTCGAACTGATAGATATGTCTTGATACAAACCAGGATTCCTTTTCTGTACTCAAACAAACTGGTCAGAGAGCTCTAAAACTAAATACCTAAAAGTCATATTGTGAATATATAAGCAAAGCAATCATAAACACCTTTATGAACTCCGCAATGGCCACAGTCTTGCTGATAGCCTGTCCCATCGCCTTCAAGACAATCTCGTTCACGTTTTTATCCTGTAAATGAAATAAACATTCTTTTGGTACATGTATTGCAAGAGACGTTCGGTCAAAACCTAGTCGCAAACATATATTAATAAGAACTTCATTATGCTGTTTAATCTACGTGTAAGATAGTGTGATTTTTCTTCCACATGACAGGAAGTGATATCATAGAGCATTGATATACATTATTGGCCCAGAACTTAATAGTGCTGTGTGAGTTTGCTAAAGCTTTAAGGTAAAGAGTGTTACTGACATTCTTGTTGTCATTTCAATTATCAAGTTAAACCACCAAGTGACAGACATAACAATATGAGAAGTATAACCGGAAGCAGTATAATTCTGTTGGTGTCCAACGTCCCAAGAATGTGTATGGTGAACTGAAACGCAATGGCAAATGGTGAGGTGAAGAAAGTGTTGTATGGTGAACTGAAACTGAAAGTTATCAAGGGATCAAATATACAAACAATAAAGGAAGATTGCATGGTAAATTGAGACTGAAAGTTAAGAACGCTGGCTTGAGAGTATTAGCCTGAAGGAGTAGGGGCTCCAACCTTTAATAAAAACAAAAAATGAGAAAGCATAATGTAGTTCACGCGATAGGGTATCCAAAAACATAAGATGAGTACAACTGAAGACACAGAGTATAAGCATCATAGAATTTGGCTGAGGTAAAATTGCTAAACATATAGCATTGCTTTATGTCGATCGCTGACGTAAAAAAGCATGGATACTTCTTTAGGCTCCGCATTCTTGGATGCTGCCAATCCATAGTCTACTGTGAACTATCTTTGGGACCTAGATGTACATTGTTTTTCTAATTAAGTTTACTTCTCTTTGAGCACACATTTTTCTTTGTTGGTTATCTTGTGTATTAATTTATGGAAAATGTAATTGCATTTTATTTCAACTAAAATCCAAAATTCATCGGTGTGTTATAATGTTCATTCTCTAACTCTATAAAAGCCTTGTCTCTAAAACCATTGAAGCATCTTAGATATTCAATAATTCCTTCACAGAAAATATAATGCATCTCTATCCTTACAAAATATTGGTATTCTTTATCATCAATAAACTAAGACTCGGGTCTTTTATCTTAAAAATAAACCCATGCGTCTACAAAGAACTTTACCAATACCCCCCAATAATCATAGAGGCTAACAAATCTAATCCAAACAAGACTATAAGCAAAATACTAAGATTTTGCATAGACCACAACAAATAACACACAAAAAAATGAGAAAACCCACCAAAATACACGAAATTTCTCAAAATCAAAAGGGCTGGGAAACCGAAATCTGATACCATAAGAAGACTCGAAGCATAGCTGATGTAGTTCCTGATCAATCCCTGCGTCGTGATTCGGATCTCGTTCTCATTGATGGCGGATTCGGGCCGAGGCCTCTCGACTCGCTGATACCTATCCATGGCCCTCTTCGATTCTTGGAGAAGAGATAAGAGGGGGGGGATCTTAGGGTTAGGGTTAGGGTTTGGGCGTGGAGACTAAAACCCTAGCGCTAAAACCCCTGCGATTTTTTTAATACCGCGAGCTTCGTATAATAAGGATGAGGGATTTAGGGCTCGCGCTTAAATCGATGAGAGATAAGAGAGGAAATGGTTAACTTTCATATTGGCCCCTCATAGATTTGGGTGGTTGGTGTACAACTACTACGAGTTTTAAATTTTTATGGAAACAGCGCGTTAAAATTTAGGATGATTCTCCTAGTTTTTAAAGTTTGGGGTAGTTCTATGCAAGTGATCACAAAGTTCAGGGGTTTTCTAATGAAATTACCGAACAAACATATAAATAATGAAAGCGAATTTTGTTTTTTTTGTTTATTGCGTGGGCCACTTGACAGCTGGGCTTCGATCAAGTTGATTGATAGTAACATTAGAGACATTAATGGGCTGAGGCCCAGTAAAGGACTGTTGCCAAACACCTATCATGTTGTCTCGTAATCGGCTTGTCAGTAGTCTAAGGGGCTGTTTGGTTCGTTTCCTTGATATAGAAAAATGCAATTCCATGTAAAGAAACACAAGTTTTGAGTTTTCTAAACTTTTCCAAGAAATAGATTGTTTTGCTTTGGTTCACACATAAAAAATAGTGGGAAACCAATGTATTTATTTTTCTTGTGTTTGGTTCGCATAGAAAAAAAAAGGAAAGCTTTTGTAAACAAAGCAGAGAAGGGAAAAAATCTGACGTGACAGAGTTTTCATCAATTTCACTTGGTTGGGGAAGGAAATCGTAGAGGGAAAAAAATCTTAGTTGGCGGCGATTTCAGCAGAGTTTTTCCTCTTCCATTCGAGTGAACCAAAGCGGCACAAAGAAATGAACGGAAACAAAAAAGCTGACGTGGAGGGCTAAAAATCTGATGTGGAGGGGTTTTCTGAGTTTTCCACCCCTTATAATAGCAAACCAAACAGCCCCTAAACATACGACTCTCTCAAGTAAGAGTTATGTCGTTATAAGTTTTTTTGGGCTAATTAATTGATTTATAGTAGACACAGAGGTGTAGCCAGAGCTTGCTTGTCATGGTCAACTGCCCAGGGCAAGAAATTTCGTCTCTCACACGACTTCTTCGTCCTCCCCTCGCTTCCTCTTCTCTCCCGTCACTTCACCTCCCTCTCCCACAGATCCAACCTCTTCTCCCTCCTCTTCCAATACCTCCATCTCTAGAATTCCTAGTCATCCTCCCTCTCCTGCGCCTCTCTCATCTCTCTCACGACATACTCGTAGACCACCTTTATTTTTCGTCCAAGGCAAAAAATAATCCTGGCTACGCCACTTGAGTAGACATAAACATTTTAGAATCCCAAATAGTCATGACCAGGAAATGAGGGGGAAAACTGATTTAAGGCAGTGAGGAAGAGTAACAATTAAAGGTCTCCCTTCATCATCATCTAAATGCCCCGGGGACCCCAAATACGGGACCCAAAGGGGTGACAGGTGAGTTGTCCCCCTCCGGTTGGATGATGCACTGTTCATGAATAGTGCACCATGCAATCGGAGGAGGAGAACTCACATGTCTCCCCATTTGGTCCCCTATATTGGGGTCCCTGTAGAAACGCCTTAAATTGAGTACTAATTCTCTCTAAACTATATGCATGCACGTGGAGACAGTTATAAGCTTTACTTGGAACAAATAGGAGGGCAAATGCATAATTTGTCCTCTACATTGCAATGTTTATTTAGTAAGGTTCAAAACAGACGGCTCGTATAAGGATTGTGTCCCTAAGAAATTGACGTCATCCTATCAGAAATGAGAAAACCTTCCTTATTCCTTAACTTTGGACTATTATCGGAAGAACCCCCTCACTTTCAAAATATTAATATTTAGATTTTATGAGAAAAACTTCTTTAACTTTGGGATTTTATCGAAATAAACCCCTAATTTATTATAAAACCTCATAGTTAAAGGTTGTATTCTGATAACCCCTAAAGTTTAGGGGGTTTCTGATATTTTGAAAGTTAAGAGCGATTTCCTGGTAATCATCGGAAGTGAAGGGAGGTTTTATGAAACTTAGCCATTTATATCTCTACTATCATAAATAATGTGCCGCTTGCCCCCCGTGACATATATATTGTCCCCTCAATTTAACTCCGTCGCTCGTTCTGCTCTGACCTATGAAGTACCCTTTGTTGACCAAAATTAATATTTTTATCCATTATTGTCAGATGCGAAAGATTTTCTTTGTCATTTTTGTTGTAATAAAATACTATATATAGGACAGTAACACGTCAAAGTGGGACCGCATTGACTATTGGTATATTCATGTCACAGACCAGTGCTTTAGTCAAACCTTAAAGTGGGGAGTTCAGTTTAATTTTGAGGTTGAAATTTTGATTTCTGTCACGCAGAAAACTCAGTCATCTAATCTTTATGATAGATTAGGGTGGAAGTTAAGATCTACCGTATTCATGACAAATTTTTTTTTAAAAATTTTTTATAACTTTTTATATTGCTAGCTTTCACAATTACTTACTTGAATTTTTATTTGATTAGAAAATAAGGGGGGAAAAGTAGATAATGTCTATTTTAAAAAAAAAACATGATCCACAAACACACAAACAAGTAAGAACGAAACAACATTTGCTTCCAAAGGAACAACAAAACTAGCCAACGTACAACAACAGCACTGAAGTGACTTAAAACAAAAAAAAAAGCCAAAAAAAAAAAGTTCGAGTTAAGCACGGACATTAACTCTAGAAAAACCTTCTGCGTGAGAACCACCTCGAGGTATTGTTTCACCAACAGTACCCGACCCACCAAGCCCACCATCTCCAGGCCCACCAAGACCACCAGCTGGCTCACCAACAGAGACGGCCTAGGGGTAGGGCCACCAGGGCTACAGCCCGGGGCCCAAAACTGAGAGGGGGCACTAGAGGTGGGTGAACAAACTATGGGGTGAGCTACAATTTACAAGTTTACAACTCTCTGTCACCGCCTAGTCTTCTTCACCTCTACCCCTAGGCCCTAGGCCGGCTCTGGGCTGGACCGCAGATTATTTTACCCCCTCCTCCACTACACCGTTGTTTTTGGCGCACACCCAACAGAGAAAAAGAGACCCAAAGAAAAAAAAGAAAAACAAATCTCTAAATTTGTCTTCGATTGCGATGTCTTTTACGTTTCGATCTCGATTTTTAGGGTTCCTCCTCAGCTCCTCTTCTCCTTCTGGATCTCTGGTGAGTTTAATCACGATGATTTTTTTCCTTTTTTCTTTTTGATGCAGTCAGTAATCCTCTGTTTACTCCACCCCCCCAATTGAGTAAAAGCTAGGTCAATTTTGGTGCTGATTGCTCAATTTTAAAGGGCATAATTGAATAGAAGGGATCCACATTTTCGATTAGTTGGTCAAACACAGCTGTAGACAAACTTTGGGGAAGACCCAGTTGACTGTTCTTGAGAGTTCTGAATTCAGCAAAGTGACCTTTTTGATGATTTTAAGTCAAGCATATTCAAACTAAGCTCATTACCCATCAAAAAAGGAGTAATCTTTTATATCTTTGTGAGGTGTAGAATGGGTATAATGTGTGATGCGCATTTGCTAGATCTCAAAAGAGAAATCAGATGGGTTTTGCTTATGTTATTCAATTGTGTATGAGCCAGAGCTCTGAAATTTTCTGTTGGGAAGGCAGTCCCTTGATATCCTTATTTATTACCTATGAGATTAAATCAGTTGGGTTTTGCTTATGTTATTCAATTGTGTATGAGCCAGAGCTCTGAAATGTTGAACTTCCTTTGATAACTCATTAACTCTTGATTTTATGGTTCAGTATTTAATCTAAACTTTTGTATCAGGATGCTCTTGATTAAGCCCCAACTCTGACCTCGTAGGGTTCGACTGGACTGATAGGCAGCGACTTTCTTTGAATGTACTTTTTTTTACAATAACATATAGAATTTAGATGTATAAATTTTATAAATTGTAAATTTGTAATACATATCTTTTTAACTTTTTCTTATTTATTATTTGATTCAACTGAAACATTGGTCGGGTACTCTTTTTCCTTCTTTTAATGCAATGAAAAGAAGATTGTATTTTGTAAAATCTTATAATTTTAATAAAATTAATTAATTGATAATTTATTTATTTGTTTAATTTGTATAAAGGGGCACACTTGAGAAAATTTGCCCTGGGCCTTAGAAAACCCAGGGCCGGCTCTGCTCACCAAGGCCGCCAGCACCTCCCAACCCACCTACGTATGTCACCGGGCCCCACCGAGGTATAGTACTAGTACACACTTATCTTACAAACACTCAAAAGAGAACATGAAAGCAAACATCACTCAAACTCAAAACTAAAAACTTAAAAAGGAGAACAAGAGGGAATTCTTACATACTTGACGAAAAATAAACTTAAAAACTTACAAACCAGAAGCTCGGTGATGAATTGGAGTAATAGTACTAGTACACACTTATCTTAAACTAAAAACTTAAAAAGGAGAACAAGAGGGAATTCTCAAGAGAGGATCTCACTTCACTCT